AGGGCTCTGCCTTCATGACCTAATCATCTCCCTAATCACCGTGTCCAAATATCATCGAACTAGGGTTAGGCTTCAACATATGAATTTTAGAGGGACACAAAAGTTCAGTCTATACCTTTGCCATTTTTTACGCATGTCCTAATCTACCAGTAACTGCTTTTTATTTATATATTTATTTATTCAACAGATCAGACACTACTTTGTCCCAGGTGATATTCTAGGCAATCCGAATGCAGCAGTGAACCCAGCTGACAAAGTTACTTTGCTCTTGTGCAATAAACAAGCAAACAGATACTATGTGAGATAGTAAGACAAACCAGCAAGGGGAGAAAATTGAGTAGGGTGAGGGGGACGCAGAGTGAATGGAAGGGGTAAGAATCATATGGTAGGTTACATTATTATTTGTAATTATTTAAGCCTTACATAGGAAAACCTGGCTAAGACAGATTTTTTGGGGGGGGATGGGAGAGGAAGGCAGGTGATCAGGGAAGACCTCACAAGTAAGGTGACATTTGAGCAGAGACGATGAAAGACCAGTAGGTTATTTGGGAGAATTTTCAGGGCTGAACACACAGGAAGAGCAAAGGCCTGAGATGGGAGTGTGACTGGTGTGTGGAAAAAAAGGCGAGGGGCCAGTGTGTCTAGAACAAAGGGAATGAGGAGGACAGTGGTAAGGGATGAGGTCAGAGAGTTTCCTGGGGTGAGTTTAGGTCACATCGGGCCTTTCAGGCCACTGCGAACTCTGGCTGCTACCCTAAGTGAGATGGAAAGCCACCGGAAGGTTTTTAGTAGAGATGTAACTTCTCTGTTAAAGGGGTCACTTCAGCTACTACTGTCTTGAGAATATATTTGGGGGGCAAGTGACCTATTTCGAAGGTGGAACCCACAAGGTTTGTTGATGGATCATATGTAGGGTATGAGAGAAAGTATCAAGGCGTACTCCAAGCTTTTTGGCTTTGAGCAACTAGAAAGAAGATTACTGTTAAAAAAAGAAAAAAGATGGAAAAACTACAAAAAGAAGTGTTTTCTTGAGGGGTTGTAGAAATTGGGGACTTGTCTGTGAGTACATGAAGTCTGAGATTCCCATCAATTAAAAGCTGCATGTCATCTGAGTTCAGTTCATGTCATCTGAGTTCATCTGAGAACAGTCTAGACTTGAGACATGAATTTAGAAGTTCTTGGAAGATAGATGGTACTTACAACCATGCCCCTGAACGATGTAATCTTCGCAGTGATTAGCCTCCCAGCTGGTAGATCTTACAAAGGTGAAGAGGAAACAGCAAAGGAGATTGGTGAGGTAAAGTAATAATTGGAATTTATTTCTCGCCTATTCTGCAGAGTCCAAGTTGAGGGCTATCCAGGCCAGGCGAAGAAAGCTTTTCAAGTTGAAGGAGTAAGAAACCCCGTCACATCCTGCTGCTAGAATATGATATGGATTGAGAATTGGACTTGGCAATCTGGAGAGCATATATATTACCAACATAAACAAGGGAAACCAAGAGGTCACTGCAAAGGGCATTGGGTCAAGGGAGGCAATGAACCTATACCCTTTCGCCTTCTTGTCAAGTGGTTCTTAGGGACTCCAGAGGGTCAGTTAGACTCATTAAACTATTTTTACTAGTCTAATTTGGCTTCTTATGTGACAGACAACCTCTCAATATCACCCTAGAAATACCGATGTTAGAATCATGATCAAGCGATAGTTTTTAAAAAGTTAGTGGTGATTGGTAGTGAGTTGCCCATCTGAACTGCTCAGGACCCAGTGCACTTGTGAAAGCTCTGGTGCGCTGATAGCCTTGGAAGAGAGACTACATTCTCCAGCCTTCCCCGAATTTACAAAGCGGGATATTTTTGGGCTCTCATGCCTATACCCAGGAGAGGATTAATCTCAATAGCAGACTATTATAACATGTATGTGTTACTATTAGATGAAGTAGTCATACTAGAATTAAATTGCCTGGACTCCATAAACAGACCTCATAACCCCAATAACTGCAAATCAACTCTAATTGTCTCATTTTTTTCTCTGTCTTCTGGCAATAACAAGATTTGACCTTTTCTGTCAAATTCCATCTTTAAAACGTGTCTAAAGACTTATAAACTGTGGGCCTTCAATCGCATGTGGACATGATGTGCTGAGCCTATTTTCTTGCCTCTAAGCCGTTCTGCAGAGTCCAAGTTGAATCTCAGTCATCCTTTGCCCTCTCCTTAAATAATTCTTCCAGAAGCTCTTCAATGTCCTTGGCTAAATCGGGTCCGAATCACGTGACATGGGGATGTGACTCACTCAGCAAGGCCGCACTTGGAATTCTCTCAGTCCTTCAGTGTTGAGAGCGGGCGGGAGAGGTTCGGTCCGGATGGTGATGGAGGACAAGTTCCGGAGCCTAAAGGAAGTGTCGGTCACAGGCTTGCTTCCTTCCTCCCCAAACAAGAAAAGCTGGCTCTTGGGAAGGAG